CCGGGAGCCTTCGTCCACCTCCGTCACCACCTCCCCCGCCGTGGAGATCAAGGGCTTAGGGCGCGGTGTCTTCGCGGAGGATGTGAAGAGATACTGTTCCCGGACCACGTGAAGGTTGGTGGGGGAGCCCCCTCTCCCAGCAGGGGCTGAATTTGGGAGGAGAAGATAGTGGAATCCTCGCACACAGGGGCTGTCTGGCCTCTTTTCTGCAGACATCCGGGGACACCTGCCATTTGGGGTTGGAGAGTCCCCAGGGAGAGCACAGGCCCCAGGGAGATCATTATTTTGTAGAGAGAGTGTAGCCAGGATGAGCCTCCTCCTTGGAGAGGGAGGGAAGAACGGGAGCAACTGGGCAGTCTTCCCCAGGGGAGAGTGGTTAGGGAGGGCACTGAAACCAGGGGGGTGGGCAAAGGCAGAGGCTTAGAGGCAGACAAAGCATGATTTACTCTGGGGTAAAGGTGAGAGGTTTGAGGGGTGGGAGTGGAACTGGAGGAGAAGGAGAGGGGACAGAGGCATAAGGATGAAAATGCAGGTTGGAATCAAAACAAAAAAGAGGGACCAGTTAGGGGGCAGTTGTGATAATGGAGGTGAAAAATGAGCTGTGGTGATGAGACACATTGGAGATGTTTCTTCAGGAGACTATAGGAAGTGTGAGGGGCTTGGGGGCAGTAAGAACAGGGGAGCTGGGATGGGGTAGGCGCTTACGGATTGAACTCTCCAAATCCAGTGGGCATAGACAACTAAAAAGTCACTTGCCACCTGGTTCTGCAAGAATTGAGTCACTGGCCACTGCAATTGCTGATCCTGAACACACCCTGAAAGGAGTGCTGGGTGGAGATCAGAAATGGGGCTCTCTGTGCTCTGGGGAAACTGACAGAACAGGCCTTCTGATAGTTAGGTATTTTCAGGAGAAAATTTTATGAACCCAGTGTCCTGCATCTTCTCATACCTAGAAAAGCACCAAAATCAGTGACAGAGACATTTGCTCCCTGTGGCTAGCAGCAGCCTCCTACTGAGATGTATTTGTATATACTGACCTCCCCACTTACCCTTTGGAGCAGTTCCTCAGAGCTGAGATTTCTCCTCAGTAAGTGCCCAAATAAAACTGAACTCACAGCTCTCACGTTGTGCATTTTTAATCAATAGTAAAAAAGAAAGTTTCAGAAATTGTGTCACTGTAGTTATTATTCATAACCACAGCAGAAGAGACAAGCGCACCAGGGAGCCTTTTAGTTAAAAAACAGCTGGAGTGGTTTCTGTGCTCACAGGCAGTTCATGTGTTCCTGGGATGTTTAGAGGCAGAGCCAGCGCTGCCCCTTTCGGTGACAGCTCTGCAGCTGATGTCGGAGAGGAGTGCTTCTCCAGGATTACCGGACCTGTCTTGTCACCCATAATACATCAGTCATGGTTCAAGTTCATTAAACCAATTTAAAAAGAAGCTTGGTGCCTAAATCTGTGTTCACTGACCAGAGTCTCAAGTCCCTCCCTGACTCAGCTCAGTGGGCAGCCTCTTCCATCTGGGCTTCCAAACACACATGGTCTTCTGGCACAGTGTCACCTCCACAGTGTCACTGCACTTTAGCTACATGCCTCAGTTGAATGCTAGCATTGGAGAAATATTTCAAGACCATACACACACACACATACACACATGTGCACATATATATGTATGTATATACATGTATTCACCAAGACTGGATGTCCAGGATCACTGAGGTAATACAGCCCAAATCAGGAAAAGTCCATCAAAGAGGTTTTCACTTGCCTTAGACCTGGTTAGTGGCAGATCTAAGATTAGACTGTCTTCAGGCTCTTGGACTTGGCGTTACAACCAAACACCACTTGGAACCTGTGGCTTTCCAGTAAGTGGCAAGAGTGATCCAGGAAGAAAAACACTTCCTCAGGCTCATCCGTGTGGCCCAGCTTTGCTGTGGAGGAGGTGTTGTGGGGCATCATGGTGACACTGTGCTGGCGAATGGCCTTAGCACCTTCCCTTCCTAGCCTGTTACCTTCTTGTGCACCCACCTCCTTCTGTCCCCTCCCCCACCACCACCTGGCTGGCTCACTCCCAGCTTGCTATCCCTGGGCTGCAGCAGACACAGCCTCACTTGTCACCATCACAGCCACAAGAGAAGGAAAACAAGGTTGTTAGTGATCAAAAAGTGAGTAGGTGAGACAGAGGAATTTGAATCCACAAATCCACTGAGGGGACCAGAAATAAGAGGAAGCACGCTGCTTCAAGGTTCTCTCACTACCAGCCGGGCTGCTCTTTGGGTGCAAGAGTCAAGTTGAAGGTCAGGGGCTGCCAGAACCAATGCTGTTATTTTACACGGGACCCCGACTATGAATGGAAACCAAACACAACAGAAGTGAAACAGCCATTTTCACTGAGGAAGAGTAGAAAAATAATTTTTCATACAGAAATTTGAAAACCATGATTATGTTTAGCAATTTGGGGTTAGGAAAGCAACAGTTTTAACATAACTAGACAGATTATGAGAATAGAAAACACTTGGACTTAAGAAAAACTACCATTAAAGGAAAAATTGGACTGGCTGCCAGGAAAGATTTGTCCTTTAAAATGACCTTCCTCACCCATATCCTCTGGGGATGTGGAGCCAAGCCTTCAGGAACAGAACACCAGCCAGAGATCACAAATCTTAGTATCAGAGGCAGACAGGGAGCTTGCTAGGAATGCAGATCCCCAGGCTTTCTCCAGAAATTGATTCAACGGTTACAGGGTGGGATCACGAGTCTGCAGTTCATCATGCCTGGGTGGGCCGTGCAGGTGGTTCACAGGCTCATCCTTCGTGAAATGCTAACCCATAATGCCTCTCAAACTCCCGTGAGAACAAGTCACCTGGAATACTTGTTTACAGACTCCTATTCCATCTCCTATGGGTTCTGATTTTCCAACAAAAGTACCAGGTGATTCTCAACAGGGACGCCTGGAAAGCACTGGTTCATAGCACTCCCTAGGGCACTTAAAAGTGGACCTGTTTTGGGTACAACTCCTAGACTGTAACTGATTTAGTCAGAGTGAGTCAGATCAGATAGACCCCTTGACTGAATTCACCAGGAATTACTGACATGAAACATCAGCAGATACGTATATTAATCAACAGCCCTGGTTACAAAAGTTTTGTCAGAATTACAAATTAGGAGTGCTAAGGGAAGCTGAAGGGAAATGCTCCATTTTTAAAAACCACATCGGATACTCTTTTCACGGGAGTGTACAAGTTAATGTTTTTTCATCAGCAATATGCCAAATTCCTACTTAACAGAAATATGATTACCATGGCTTTCATGTGCACTGTCTACAACAGGTTCAGCGATTTAGAACTGAGAGCTTTTTCATTTTGGCACAAAATGTGGAAGATGCTTTTTGGATCCCCAGGGAGATTTTCCAGCCTCTTTGATAAATTTCTTTAAAAATCTATGCACTGCATTCTGGTACCCTAAGAAAACAGAGGAAGATTCTTCTGGAATGCAATGGCTGAAGCAAAATCTCTTCTATGAATACTTAAATCTCTAGGTAGAGGACACATTCACAGCCAAGAGGAGCTTCTGATCTGATCCCCCTTCCCAGGGTCGTGACACATGTTACGGGCAGCACTGCGGGCAGGCCTAGCTAAACACCGTCACTAGCTCCACATCCTCTGGAAAAAGCTGCAGAGCCACGTTACTCTGAGAGAGGGCTGAGTGGGCACAAATTTTACAGGAGTTCAGGTAACAGGTTAATTCCAAATTGGCAAGAAAAGTTGAATTCAATTTTCAGTTCTAGGCAAGTCACAGCATTAATTTTCATACTGAACAGACTGAATGAAAACTGAGCCCTATTCCAATTTTTAAATGTCTCCTTCTAAATGAAGTGCGGTCAATGCGGGGAAAGCACTTTTCCACCAGCGAGTGGAGTGAGCTTGCCTCTGCAACAAGGGCTCCTTGTCAAACAGAAACTCCCCTCAGCTGAAAAGATTAATAAAAGCTTCAGTGAAAACCGTGATTAGGACTTCTGCTCTCAAAACTAAGGCTGACGAATAGCTACCAAATAAAGGGGTCAGACAGGAACCGTGTTGAAACGATAAATGTTCACCGTCTCGTTAGTAATTGCTGGATGACTCTAATTCCTTTCTGTACTGCACTTCACAAATACCCTTGGATGCTCAGATGAAAAAGATTATGTGTGAATTCATGGACAGTAGTAATATCTGAGAAGTCAAATAAATTTTCAGAAATGCTTCCGAATACAAAATAGATGATGGAAACATAAAACCCAATGAATTCAACTGCTCTCCCTTTTAATCAATTTTACAGAATGATATCATACATTAGTAATCACATTAGGAGACAGAAGGGGTTCCCTGTACATATACAAGATTGTGCAAGCTCATTAACTGAGGCTTATATAAGGTTTTATCAGTTTCAAGAGGAGAGGCAGTACAAAGCTTTTTAATACAGGTGAAGCACAAGAATACGGTAGACGAGACAGAGTATCAACTCAGCAGAGGTGAATTCTTAAGGCGTGTGGCTCCACCCACACCGTCTGCTGTTAACCAAGTGTAGAGGACTTCCTCTCTTGTGAATTTACCCTTTGCTGAGCGCAGGCCTGTGGGACACGCAGCTCCGTGGTGACTCCACAGCTCAACCACACCAACCTTGACACTGAAGCAAACTGTGTTTTCCTTTCTCCAAGTATTCTTAAGAGTAATAAAGCTATTCCAGGTCAACTTACTCCTTGGGTAACCTACATTCTAAAGTATATTAAATGATTATTAATTTGGCAACGTTCTCAAGCATTCTGGCATTCAAAATATCTCAAATGTCTCATTACTGTTAATCTACTTGCTAAAAATTCTTTGAGTTTCAAGAAGATTGTTTCTGATTCTCACCGCCCCCCCTCCCCAAGTATGGCAATTACGTATAGGATAAACTCACTAGAGTTAAAAGAACTAAAAAGAGGACAGACTATTCCTTAAGAAATAAAGCCAGAATGGAGAAGAGAAAGTCTAGGACACACAAATGGAGGACGCGAACTCCACTAATGTTTCTATCACTTCCATGTGATCCACAAATGATTCTGAGCAAGTGTGATCCGATTTTCCTTTTTCACACCCACTCACATCAGAGAAAGGAACGGTGCAAACTTCACAATGTTGACCTTCACTTGGCCCAAACTGGAATCCCCACGGCAGGCAACAGGAAAACGGTGCATCGGCCTGCACAGTCGGCCACAGCTTCCCGTGGCCAGAACGTGGCCTTGTGACTGTCTGGGGTGGGTTTTTGTTCTCTTACTCATGCACCTCAGGAACATGTGTGTCGAGAGTCTACATGAAACAAAGGCTTCCAGGACACAACAGGAAAAGAAAAGCCATGCATGCATCACATCCACATCTATTTTCGATCCTTCACAAAGCCTAGTCCTTTTACAGAGATTTAGTATCTGTATAAAAAAGGCTTTCAGAAGCAGGTTTTTAAAAAGAAAAAGCAGATGAAACCAGTAACTGTGGCTGAGATTTGACCTAAAGTGGAGAAAGAAAACAAGATGGTTTAAAAAATAATTATTTTGCAAGGAAAGACAATCTTCAATCTGTGTTTCTATTACATAACTGTCTCCAGAAGCAGGGTATTAATACAAAGTATAAACTGATTTTTCATTAGATAAGTTAATTCTACAAGATTTCAGCGAACTGAACCACTGTCTTCCCGTTTACCATTCATTATCCTTGTAAATTCCATGTAATAATTGGTGGCTACCGAATGTTTCCTATGTGTGACTTCATGCTTTTCCACTAATCCTTCATGAAAAGTAAGTACTGGGAGGAAATGTAGTAAGAAACTCTTGAAGAACAACTATTCCTCAAGATCCAATTACTCCCTATCTCACACCCCACCACTGCCACGCAGACAGTTACCAATTCCTAAACTCAGAAATCAACACTGTAATAAAATCTGTCATGAAATTAAACCAGTGATGGTTAATGCTGAAGTAGTCCTTACCCCTGACAGGTTTCCAGAGGAAAACAGTTAAACCTTAAACCGCTGGGCTGTGCTGCTCTGATAGCACCTGGGTCAAGCAAGCACTCACCTCTGCCTCAGAGACGTTTAACCCTGATGCCAAATCTCTGGGTTCTACTCTCACCAACGTCTCGAGCACTGCACAGCCCTCTCCCCTGCCTCCACTGTAGCCCTACTCCCCAAATTCACCACCTCCTCCTCCACAGAAAAGAGCTCTGTGCAACGTCCACATCTTCACATTTATTTCCACAGTGATAACATGGAATAGATTCAGGAACCATCATGGGGGCAAAAATCTCTTGTTCACTTACAAGTTAAATCCCAAAACAATGAATTTCAACAATTCCATGTCAGCTATTGATTTAACATTTATTGACTAAAATGTGAACTCCCTCTAGGCCTTAGAAATCAAGTTAGACAGTTTGTCTTGTAAAGTATTTATGATGGAATTTGACTTCTAAGACCTAGATAAGCTTGGCAGTTACAGCCCACGAAGCACATGACTCTGTATACAGATTTCCTGACCTAACATTCAAAAGGACATTTTGTTGTACTAGTTTAATTTTGACCTCCCCCTAAAAGGCAGAAACCACATCCCACACTCCTAAGCAGCTCATTATTTCGGTATTTCAAAATACATGAATGAGAAGAGGTCGAGGCATAAAGAAAATCCAGCTTCTTGAGGCACAGAGAAACACAGCGTTCCTGGAGAGGGAGAAGACAGCCTCTGTACTCATCTGCTCAACTGCTGGTCACAGTTCCCTTAAAAATGCCTGGAGATGCTGCCGGCAACGAGAAACTCAAAGTATGGGACCAAGTTTTATAAAAGAAGCTAAACATGTTTAGGAAACATACAAAGTGAAACCAGACAGCGATGACCTACGTCCAAGACTTGTGCTTGAAGCTTTGGTGTGCCTCCTTGGCCAGTTTCTCAGACACCAAAACCCATTCCTGATTAATTATCAACATACAACCAAACCAAAATACAGAAACACATACTTTTGTTCAGAAGAGGGAAATAAAGGCACAGAAACCTGCCAAAATAGATTTTTTTCTCATAAGAATAGTATGATTGATTAAAATAGTTTATCACTAGTAAAACTTGTATCACTAGAGCAGACAATACAAATTAGTTTTTTAAAAAATGACATTCACTGAATTTCTGGTCTGTTCATTCAATGTGAATCATCATCAAAAATATATTACAATTAAAGGTTTGTAGGGAGTTCTGTTCGGGGTTTCTACACTATATTTAGTATTTCAGATGAGAAGTACCACAAGAACGTATTAGACAGCTGCTGTTCCTTTGTGTGTGATGGACGGTGTCTATCTCCTACTGCAGGCTCAAAGACGTCCACGGTGAAAAATGGCTCAGTGACTCACTCAGTGATTTTTATACCCCTCATCAAAGGCAGCCCTGTGCATAAACGCCACACCTAGAAAGTTCAATAAACTGTATTATACTTTAATAAATACTTCTGAGTATTTGTTTGCCTTTTGCTTTTAAGCTCAGCTTAAATTTTGTCAAGGAAACCATTTCACAAGAGGGTACATCACAACCTACTATCAGCAATATTCCTTGTTTATTAGAATCTGAAGATGTCCATATTACATCAAATATAAATATATATTATATTTACATTTCCTTCTTAGCTTTTCAATTTAGGTGAGTGTATTTATAGATAATGCCACTAATGTCACCACTATTATCATCCTCAGTGCAACTGGCATTTCCCTTCCATTAGATGCATATAAGATTAGACGGCATCTTAAAAGAGGTGTACTGGTCTTCTTTCTTTTTAATGAAAGGAAACAATGGGTATCCATAAACGGAGATCTAGGGATTTTCTAGAGATTTTGTTTTGTTTTTTAGTATTTCAAAATACCTGAAAAATGTGGTCCCTTTTTGCAATACTATTCTCTACATGGGGACAAGAAAACAAAATATGCAACTCAGAAAGGAAAAGAGCCCAAAGAAAAGAGAACCTGCTTGTTAGCTCATTAATCTGTTTAGTAAAGATCTGTTTTAAAATGTCTGAATGCTGTACAATATTATACAAAAACAATCTTCAGCCTTCAAAGCAGCTGGTACATTTTCTAAGAGATCTGTTTGCCCCCCTAACAGTCTGCTGCCTTGGTGGGCCTTGGTCTTGGTCACTTTCGGTCATCGATAGTTTTAATGAATTCCACGGCTGCTGTGAACTGCATCCACCAATAGGACTCCTCTCCAGACAGGCAGCTGGCGTAGAAGCTACTGATATACTGAACAGTGGACAGCAAGCAGGGAGGATTTGCCTGGAGAAGTGAAAAGTAAAAGAGAGTCAACTACTCAGAGGCACAGCTCTGCAAAGTCACTTACAGTAACATCTTCACACGTTTTCCTGTGAAAAGAGACACCGGTCCTTTTAAAGTAATCCCTCAAATCCTTTTTGGAACTAATTTGTAAACCCTTGCTACTACCATTAGCAACAGTACACTGGAAAGGCAAGTCGGGTTCTATCCTAACAAAGCTCTTAACCTTGCTGGTCTTTAAAGAGGCTAAGCTAATCCCAGTGGATTTACTCAGCATCCTAGGATTCCAGGATGTTAGACAAGGAAAAATACGCTGTAGGTAAATTGAGTTATATTTGGTTTGTAAGTCCAGGTAGAATTGGCTAAGGGGAAAAAAAAAAGAAAGTATGTCCTCTGCTGCAAGAGGTAACAGAGTATCTCCTGCTTTGTTACCTTCACATGGAGAGAAAGGACACAGGTGTGTTAAGAGGTTAGGAGGACGCGCTAAGGCCCGTTCCTTGTAACGAGCTTAAACTGGCTCTGCACAGGGACTAAATACGTCACCTGGGGAAGAGGGCAGGGCAATGGGCAACAGGAGGAGTGATGAAGGCTGATCACATGCCTTCCTACGGGTTCTGACTCTGAGCTAAGAGCTCAGGTTGCAAAAACACTGCAAACACTAAGAATCAGTAAGATGTATGTCAAATATACTCTAGATATCGACAAGCTGAGCTGACTGGAACACACGAGTGATGCAGTTACTTGGTGGCTGTGTGTACCCAAACTTCATGGTTCCCTTAACCAAAATGTTCAAAATAAACCATTTAAATGATGAAACTTTAAAGTCAAAAAAGGACAAGAGATGTCAGTACTTTTAAAAATAATGTTACAACTACAAAATAAGAGGCTAAAAGAAGAGAAAGATGATTGGTAAATGTAGTTTATGTGACAAGTACTGTGTAGAATTCAATGTGGAAGAAGATGGTAAAAACACAATGAAGAGAACTTGCCCTCATTCATACACGCAGTGATTATATCCTGAGCTCCAACCGAGAACGTTATGCACTGCTTTAAAAGCTGAAAATGTTCTTCTAGGAATCTAGTCTTCCTACCCTTTCTCTAGAAAACCCTACTTCTGGACAGAACAGAACTTGACATTAGATACTTTCTTTCTGGGTAACACAGAGCTTGAAACTTGTGAAAGGGCCGAAGTCTCTGTGAAACGCTGCACCACTCTACTCAGAATGACAAATAAACAATTCTAATAGCGAGGGACCCACCTTTATCAACACGAATACCAAAACGGGGACAAAGTCATCCGCTCCTGGGACGGAGTCCTCGTTGGCCAGGCTCAGGAGGTTCATGATGGTGGAGCACATTCTCAGGATGCACTGCACTTTGTCCCGGGGGGTCTTGTAAGCACTTATTGTCCTAATTTCTGACTGCGCAGATGGCCACGGTGCCTCCCGAAGATAAACCTAAGGGAGACCACAGACAGAGTCAGGTCTGGGATCTGACGGCAACTACAGGCAGCGACCACAGCAACCTCCATGTCAAGTGGCAGAGGGTAAGGCTGCTGCCTTCTCCTTTCTTCAGTAAAACCAAACTGCGATTCCTCCTGCTCTCTCACTTAAGACTGAAGCTTAACTTTTAAACTTTATAGTGAGACTGAATTACATCTGGTGCAAATGGTATTTTATAACTGATGACATTCTGCTTCCTTGAAAAACTGGTATCATGCACATAGTATACCAAGCAATTTTTAATTAAATAATACCACCCACACCATACAACCCTGTATTACCTCTGGTATCTGAAGAGCTCTGTGATTTGCTGTCACTACTTTAGACAATCTCTGAATATGTTCATGAAGAACCCTGAAAACCCCCAAAAACAATATGTAAATATATTTCAGAAAATAAGATAGAGTCATAAATGATTTTGTTCCAAAACACATTAAAAAACGTTTTAGACTTATTTCTAGATATACATTACAATTACCGTTGAGACTCTCTTGGCTATGAGTATTCCGTCTTGTCAGAAAAATCTCATTTTTAGGATCTGCTTAGAAATGCTGAGTCATGAGCCAAGGGGACGCAGGGAGAAGAGCAGAGAAGCCCTCCTTGCCCAGACTCGGACAGCACTCCGAGGGAGAAAGCAGAGGTGCCCGTAGCCTAGAAGCTACTTGGATAAACTAATTGGCAGACAGGCAGAGAGGAAGTGAGGGATCAGAAGCCAGGAACCAAAGGTCACAAATGCTTAGATGGAGAAGGGGCCCCGAGAAACATTCAACTTCTCATTTCATAGATGAAAATAACTAGACTTAAAAAGGTGAAGAATTTGCCCAAGGCCACACCGTGGTTAGCAGCAGAGGCTAAACCTGGCTTTCCTGGCTTCTAATGTTCTTTCCAGAACACAGTGTTAACTCTCCCCTCTATAAACCTGCAGAAATGCCACAGGGGAGAGGGTAGGAATAGCCTGCTTCAAAGATGCTCTTTGTAGTAAGTACAGTTTGAATGTCCCCATTCCTTACCCCATTCTGGAGGCCAAAAACTGGTGCTTGGAGAGAAAACAGGGCCCATGTGGCAAATTCAGCACAGACACTTGGAGTGGGGCAAAAAGCCTCTTGAGACTAGGATCAAGTGAGAGGCAGGCTGGAGGGACCCTAACTACTCACAGGAACGTGAACTCTCAAGTGTACATGCAACACCTTAACATTTCTGTGAAAAAAATCTTTCATAAACCACCAATGACCACTCGGAGGTCCTATTACATGGACCCTCGAAGGTGGCTGGCAGAGTAAGCCACTGTTATTGCTGGGAGCACAGAGCCACCTCAACATGCTTGGGGCATAAACAGGGTCGTAAAGCAGTGGTCAGGAAAATGCAGAAGAGGAAAAGTAAAAACGCTAACTTAGCCATAGTTTCACTACCCAAAAATAAGCACTGTTACTATTCCAGATATTTTTTTTTCAGGATTAACTTTTTAGGATTACTTTGAAAAATAGCTTTACTAAGATACAATTTATATACATTCAATTCCAGATTTTTTGATTCTCAAATATAGAACTTTTCATTCCTGAATAAATATCAGAAGTCACCACTGTGCCTGATGCTGTGACACAGTGATGAATAAAAGCATTATGCTCTTGCTGCCACGGAGGGAACGTTCCAGTGGGAGACAGAAGCATTCATCAGATGACCACACAAACCAGTGATCAAGATCAGGGGGTGATTTTTGCCCTCCAAGGGACACTTGGCAACATCTGGAGACACTTCTGGTTCTCGCACCTGGTACCGTACTACTGGCCTCCAGCATGCAGAGGCCAGGAACATTGCTGAACATCCTGCAACGCACACGACGGCCTTTCATTTCAAAGAATTATGTGGCCCAAAGTGTCAGCAGTGCCAGGCTGAGAAATCATGGCTCTAACAAATGTGTAACTGCACCTGTGGCAAGTGCTAAAGGAAGGTACACAGGCCTGAGGGAGCCCTGACAGGGCATTTAACCTAGTCAGAGAGGCCAGGAAAGGTTTCCCTGAGGAAGTGATGTCTGAGTTAGGATGTGAAGGATGAAGCGTAGGTAGAAGAAAAGAAGGGAGGAACAGCTGAGGCAGAGTAAATGGCAGTGCCTTCCAAAAAGGCCATGCCAATTTACACACCCTCTATCCTGATTCCCTACATCTCTGGAAACAGCGCTCTCATTCTGCCTGATCTTGTAACTCTGATGGGGGAAAGGAGGTAATGTATTTTTTCTTTTACTATCAGATACTATGTCTCATGTTTTATTGTCTAAAATATGGGGCTGGCTCACAGATCCCTAGGTAGTCCAACACAGGCATGTTTAAACACAGAAGCACTTACTGGTCACGGAGTATGTCCCCGTCCTGATTAGGGTAGAAAGCAAGCTTGAAGATCCGATTCATCACACTCCGCTCAATGGCCAGCTGAGCGTCCTGGAGCTGCTCTTCACTTGCGTTCTGCCATATGACGTCCTGGGCCATCGCACCATAAAGGAACTGCAGAAAATCTCCCACCTGAGCAGTTTTATCATCAGCTGCTGTGAGTTTCTGAAAGTCTCCAATGCAAAATAGTAATTTTTAACATACAGTATTTGAATAATTTTAAATAGGAAGTCATTTTACTCACTAGCTATGCAGACATTACTGTACTCTTAAAGCCAGAAGTATCTGGGCATGGTTTATTTCAGGAGAAAATGCAGCCAAATCATTAAAAACAGGAGAAATGTAAGAGATATGTCAATGTTTCAGAAAAAGAGATTTGTTATAAAAAGATATGCTTTGTTCTTTAAAAAAAATGAGAAAAAAATATGTGGATCCAAAACTTTACTAGTTTTCCCAATTTTTAAATAAACTATAGATACTCAATCCAGGATAAAAATGAAATTTATTGGTTTGACCTCAAAGGTTTAATTATTAAGAAGCAACTGGGAATTTAAGAAACTGCTCTTTGACACAAAGACACTCAAAGAAGTAGCAAAACAGAAATTTCCAGATCTTCCCAATAACTTACGACTGAATAGCTGCTCAGCCCAAAGGCCTTCGGTTACCTTGAATGAATTCCCTGATCTTCTTTTCTTTGCTCTCAAGCAGCAACCTCACACAGACAGTGGTGAAGTATCTATTGGCCACCTCTTTGTCCCGCAGAACCCTCTGCAGCAGCCTTTCCAGGTGAGCCTGTGTGGTCTGCAGTCCTTGTCGGCAGCGAGTGAGGTAAGCAATATAGGGGGCCCTTTTCCTAAAAGGAAATACGCTTTGAAGGACATCTAACAGAAACAGTGCACACTTTCTTCGGCGACTAAGAGTCCTAATTTTTCTTTAAACAAAAAAATTACTTCAGAGACTTTGGTTTTATGAATTAGTAGGTCAGGCCACAGACAACTGTCCTGAGGACTAATGCTGCCGGCACAAAAAACAAAACCAGGTGCAAGGATGCAATGCACAGCACAGGGAATATAACCAATATTTTATAACAATTTCAAATGGAGCATAATCTATAAAAATACCAAATCACTATGTTGTGCACCTGGAACTAATATAACATTAGTAAATCAACTATACTTCAATTTTAAAAAGGAAGAAAGAAACCATTCTACATGTTTGTGAAGAATATCATCCCTGGGCTGAACACTTGGCTCCCTAACTCACTAAACATTACTAAGTCCCTTCTCATCGTCGGTCTGTTTCATATTGGAGCAGTCTCCAAGCTGGCAGAACCTCAGACCTAACAGGACATTGACTGCTACAAAACTAGAACAACAACAAAATACAGGTTCACATACTACGAGATCATTAAACATACTACCAATTACCTAAACGTAACAATCACTAGAGCACCCCATCCTGAGCTTCTTTACTTCCTAAGCAACTCAATTACATTTTTCTCTTAACTGCTAGCAGGGAACAGACAGACAAAGGGCAGCGGTTCTGAGGCCTACTCCTGCCTCTGCTTCCCTGAGTCAGGGAAGCAGTCTTTTCTATCACCCCTAAAAAAGGGAAATGATATCAGAACTATCCCGGCCCCATCTCTACTAAAGGTGCTTTTGTGCAAATCTGAAGTGAAATGCACTCTCTGTTAGTAAGAGCTGCTCATTTATAACCACATTTCCAGACTAAATATCCAAATGGGTTCCTTGGAAATCTACATCCAGGTAAACACAGCCAAGCACTTTGTAGTAAGCCTAAATTCATTTCTGAAATAAGAACTGAAAAGAAATTACTTGCAGCTTCAAACAGGTGTACAAGTGGAACAGGCTGGGTGTGTTACCTGTAGTCCTCGGCAATAGAAGCCAGCAGTTTCCTACAAGTCCTGTTATCAAAGCGGCATACACAACGCATTGTTTCTTGAAGTTGAGCCATTAAATTCTTATCTTGCAAATTAATTGCTTCGGCTATCTGAACTTTTAAAAAGCAGACAATTTCATTGTCTAAGCAAAAAAAAAAAAAATTCTGTCATTGTTGAGAAATTCCAGGGGCTTACACAAGCTGTGTGTCATCCCTCAGCCTCTAGGATATCAATTCTGCTCTACCATTTATCAGCAGAACTGTATTGCCACACTTTAGTGAACCATCGGTAATCAAAGTGCCCTTAACTTGATGCTAATATAAATGTATTAGGTTGAACTGTATGGAATTGCTATACAGTTTAAATACAGTCGAATACTGGCAATTTCATATGGTTCGTTCTATGAATATAGGGAAAAATAAACCATCAGGCAGCAATTTACCTTCTGGGTCTGTATGGTCTGGTAAACCATTCCTTGTTGAATGGGTTAGCACTGGGAAAGCAACAGAATCCGCAGAGCAAAGAGCAAGTCTCAGTTTCTTTTTTGCATCTCTAAAGAATGAGTTGAAAATACATTAATTTCTTTGTCCAGATATGGTCACATTTTGTGAACTATTATTATATTTACTCTACAAATTAATATGCTACCTCAAGGCTCAACTGTTTCAACTAGTCATAAACATAATTTTTAACTTACTGACCTCTCACTTAAGAAGCAGGCTTCCCACTTACCTGAGAAGCAAGGCTAAAAAAGTGCTCTGGGCAAGGACCAATTAGTAAAGTCACCAGAATCAAACAACACAGCTCTTCTGACTTTCTAACATACGCTGAGTTCTATGCTAAGCGCTATGAGAGTCAGAAACGCAAATCCTGCCAGAGTTGGAAGGACGTCAACAGAAATCATCTCAACAGTCTCACCACCCAAACTAAGGAAGATTCTGTCACACCTCTTGAGAAATGCTGATCCTGCCACAGGACAAGCTGAGCACCTGACAAGGAGCCCTTTCTGTTGCCCTGCTGCTTGAAACCTTGTGTTGAGTCAAAACCTGCTTCCTTTCGACTTCCAACTACTGAACTACCTGCTTCCACCCAGGGCAGCACCTTTCAGTAAGGCGTCACCCTCCACAAGAAAGCAGCTCTTCATACTGGGAGGGGCCACTGAGATTCTTTTATCTGCTAGTGCCTGGGGCCCTTCCTCTTCCTGTAGGACACAGACCAGAGCTTCCTCAGAATGTCCGAAACTGCCATCCAGAAAAAGCAGTTGGACACTTCAAAGAACAAGCCAAAGTCTGCTCCTCCTGCTGGGTTATCACTTGTCTACCCCATCTGACGAGCTCCGAGTCTTTCCTTGTTGGTTCGCTTCCTCTAAAATGAGTCAATCACAAAATCAAGCCAATCAAATGTAATATTTGCCCACTTTGCAAAGACTCCTAAACTATATAAAGGTAAAGTTATATCTGGAAAATAGAAGTTGTCTGTCACTTCCCCCAAGTTCACCATAGAAAAAATTATAAAGCCTCAGAATAAAAAAAAAATGATATGTACAGCACAGGGAATGTAGCCAATATTTTAATAATAACTATAAATGGAGTACTGTCTTTAAAAATTGTGAATCACTATGTTGTACACCTGAAATGTATATAATATTATAAATCAACTATACCTCAATAAAAATAAATAAAATTAAATGATACGCTGGTTAGACTTTGCTTTAAATTAATTGGCTGGGGGGGAGGTAAATATGAAACAGTATTGGCCATGTATTAGTAACTGTTCAATCTGGGTAATGGGCACATCATTGTACGCTTCCATTTTTGTACTTGTTTGTAAATTTCTATAATAAAAAGTTTAAAAAGAGAGAAAGACAGAGTCAGAGACAGAAATAAAGAGATGGATGGTGATCAGTGCTTTAAAACTGATAATCTTTGGATAAACAGAGGAACAAAAGCAAATTTTTCAGGCTTCTCAAGTCATTTTCTTTGTAAACTCCTATTAGAAATACAGAGATCTGCCCAGGAAATGAGGAGGGTGACAAACTGGGAGGACTCCAGCTGGCTTACTGGGGATAGTGGGTCATTCGACTACTCCACAGCAGATCCTACCTCCTACTGCAGTCCTCCCTCAACATCTCTCACAGCCAGAGCTGGGAGCTCTGCATGGGCAGAGGCACCGCCACTGCCTCATTTAAATTACTTATGTAGCCCTTGTGGGCATATGTGTTTTGTTTTTTTAAATCCCTGAATTAAAGCCCTTGATATATGACATCCACAAGGGGAACAACGTCTTCTCAGTAAATAGCATTTCATTCTTCTCTCGCTGATTTACACATTTATTAAGTGACTCAGTGAATCACTTGACATGATGTGACTGCGGATGGTGGTGAAAAGGTCAAACCCAAAGGTCCTAAATCCTGTAAAAGAAGTACCTGTAAGAGAAAGCTGAATCCTGAGGGTGGGCGGCTTGGCTCGCGGAGTCGGGGAGGTCATCAGCTGAGATGTTCTGCAGGGTTTCATCACGAGGGGACTCGTGTGCACTTTCGCCATCACCCATAACTTCTAAACAAAACCCACCCCCAAAACAGGATAAGCAGGTTAATCCAGAATATTCCGCCACTGGAAGGTATTCAGAGCGACTCAACATAAATTAACTTGTGCTTTCCAATAAGGGTTATTTGGAAAAGAGAGGAAAAAGAGAAACTTCAAACACTTAAGTAAGTTATTGACAGCAATGATAATATATTAAGAGAGCAGTTGTTGAGAATAGTTTTACTTCTTACACCAACCCTAATCCAAAACAATTCAAGTCTTTATTAACTGAATAAAGATAATACTCTGTAGTGCAGGTAACCTCCTTGGTCAAGTTTATTTCTCAGTATTTTGTTGTTTTTGATGCAATGGAAATATTCATGCCAGTTATAAAATTCTGGTTTTTGAAGTGGAAAAAAATAGTGAACGAAAGGCTGCAAATGGCAAAATATCCTCCCTTCTTGCAGGTGAGTTGTATTCCATTACATACATGTATGCTGCATCTTCATGACCTATTCAACTATTGATGTGCACTTAGGATGCTTCCATACCTTGGCAATTATAAATAATGTTGCTGTTAATAGTGGGGTTTATGTATCTTTTTGAATTAATTCTTATTTTGTGGTTGGCTTTATTCCTTTGATAACTATGTAAGTTTAAAAAGCTAAAGCTCTAAACGTTCTTAGACACAATGAACAGCACATATATATAAAGTTTGTATATGTGCAGTCCAATTGGAATAATTCTACCTAATAAAACTGAAAAATGAAAAATATATCTTAAAAAATTTAATTAAAAAATTTAAATTTAAATATTAAAAAGAGAGACTACTCTGTAATCACAATCACTGAACCACAGAACCAAAAGGGGCTTCCCATAACACTCTCACTTCACAGACTTGAGTCCTGCCCAGCCAGAAAACAGCTGGCAGTGACCCCCTGGCAGGCAGCGCTGAGGTCTCCCGCACCTGCCAGGGCTCCTCCCACTGCCTGACAAACTCACAAACGCAACCAGGACAGACCTATGGTTCCCTCAGTTGTTTTTATGTTTTTAATTAGCCAATTTAGATAATCCATGCGTGTATAAAATCAAAGGAAACAAAAAGTTCCTTAGTGTAAAAAAGATACTGTGCCTATCTATGTAGGAAAAACATCATTATTCGTAGGAGATAATTTCAAATACTTCAAGGAAAAAAATATAGAAAATGTGGCAAAATGTTAACAATTGATAAATCCAGGCAGACAAACACAAACCTTCACTGTACTACCTCTCCAACTTTTCTGTTATTCTAAAACTTTTCAAAATAAAAAGTGTGGGCTCCCTAAGAGCCCCCTTCCCCTGAGGCAACTCTTGTTACCGGTTTGTCAGAGATTCTTCCAGAAACGCTCCATGCACATACTGTGCGCATACGAGCATAAACACTTGCAGTATACATTTATGCTTTGAGGTACTTTCATTTCTTTTTTATTTTGGAGATTGTACCGTATGTTCGGACAACTATTCAAAAGTAGCTATTAAGAGGCTACTTTTAATTCAGATCACCTTTATCACTGTGATACGAGTTACTATCCTATTCTTTATCATGATTATCACCTGCACTTTCATAGTTTGCCAGTGCTCCTTCACTGGGGCTGGTTCGTTTGATGGCATTCCTGTATTTGTCCAGAATATCCTCAGCGACCTGAGCTTGTGCACTGAGTCTAGGGCTGGGATCATCTGCAGGGGAAAGGAGAGGGAGAGAATTAGCTCCCCTGGGTTTGTACCCACTCTGATGTTAGTACGACACCAGTAGCAAAATCCCAAAGGCAGATTAGGAGGTAAGACTTAAAAAGAGCACATATCTCAATGTTATAAAAGGCACCATGCAGCTGCCTACTCATTTTCTAGGTCTGAGGGCCTTGCCAAAGCATGAAATTGGAAGGTTAGCGCCACTTTCTCATCATCGCCAGAATTCTGCATGACAGTGTCAAAAAGTTCAGTGCAGTCTGAATGGATGATGGGTTTCTAAAGTGTTTACACTCAAATCACTGTTATTAGCAATTCATGCTAACAGAAATTCCAACAATGCATTTTTATACACAGACTTCGTTTATTCAGACATCTCTATGCTGAAGGAGGATAAAAAGTATTCAAACTTAAAATTAAACACTTTTAAGTAACAATAAATGCCTTCCTCCATTCTTTCTTCATGAATTTTTCTCTCTACACCACATTTGAAAACTTCAGACATTCGTATTTTATCTCACTAAATCTCACCATGACTGCAGCTGCAGGAATAGAGCATTTATGTGCATGCAACAGTGTCAGAGGCACTCCTGGAGAATCTAGACATTGCTGGGGAGTGCTGGAATCGTATCCGGGGTGCACGGAGAAAAAGCTTACGTAACAATCACAGGTGCAGCATGGGTTACTGATAGGCCCACTATCCTGTCAGCAAAATCAGCACATCAAAAAGTTCTCCTGGAGTCAGATGGCACTCACTAGTTACCAGTTATCAAAGCAAAGAATTGCTACAGATGTATGGGACAAAACAGAGTTCCACAGTGAAATGCAAACTCCTGAGATAGATCTAGGCCAAGCAGGTAACCATAAATGTCCACACTCCAGTAGAATCCCATTTTTAAATAGCCTAAAAACACACAAAAATCACTAGATTTTATGTGTGTGTGTGTGTGTGTTAACAGCAACTAATATTAGTAGCAGTTAACCTTTATTGAGCACTTACCACGTGCCAGGAACTGTGCTAAATACCTTATATGAATGATCTAAATTCATCATCACAACCACTCCACAGGGAGGAACTATCATCATCCACAAAAGAGGACATTATTATCACTTTCCAGAAGAGGAAATCAAGGTAGAAAGAGGCAAAGTGGTATGCTCATAGGCTCTTCTTTTGTTTCCATGAAAAAAAATTTTAGTATTTGTGTCTTTGTAAAACTGTGGTAAACTATAGGGAGAAATGATTTCCAAATTTAATCTTTCCGCTATAATGATATTTGAATGCATGATAAGAGAGTCCTAATGAAGTCTGATTTTCCTCAAAATGTAAACTGATAAAATCTTTATTGTTAGGAAATCTTTTTATTTGCTATTAGTTTTGAGTACTGCTGAGAGCTTTGAAAGGAGGACAATAAAATTTGGCTAAACATAGTGAAAGCAGCAATGTTGCCTATAACCTTTATTTCTACAATGACATTCTTAAAAATTTTATCCGAGGACAATAATGAAAACAAAAACTGCTATATATACAAAGCTGTAAGTAGTATTTTTATAGTAAAAAATTGGATAAATTAAACAAATTTAAATATCCAAAAGCAAGAGAAGGATCATAATGCAGTAAAATCATATGACAGATTATCTTAGAGCCAATAAAAACTATTTAAAAACCAACTATGTCTAGTAGAAACTGGGAGAGGGTTTATGAAGTAACATGTGGTAAAAGACTACAAAGTTACATACATATTCTGATTCAATCATGAAAAGCCATGTAGAAATACGGAATGATCAGGAGAGAACATGAGAAAAAGAATAGTTAAGGTAGCAAGATTATGGACATACTGTTAAGACTTTCCTTTCATAACACTGTAAAATTGATTTAATGATACTTTGCAATGGGCCAGTAATTAGCACTGGGCAGAGATTTCTGCACCAGTAGGGAAGCTAAAATTGCTAGACTCAAAACACAAACAAAATAAAATGTTTTATGAAAAAGTTATTCTACTTAGCTTCTAGTGTAGGTACCAAGAGCTAAGAAAAACGTATTGCCTAAAAATACAAGTAAAAAATAATTTATAACATCTCCAAAGCTATTAATTCAACATTTTGAAAACATGAGATTTCATTAAGAGTATTCCACTCTGTGAAGACTTCACAGAGTGGTGTTCTAAAACTAGGAGCATGGTAAGAAAGCATAAATATCTTGCCAAAAGGATGCCTTTCCAACTCTTCTCAATCAGTCTGCAAGTTCCTAAAGAACAAGAGTCATGTGTGATTTGACTTAACACCTCCAACACTTAGCACAGTGCCTGGCATGAGTCAGATGTTCAACAAGCATTTGCTGACTGAGTAAGAGAGGCTTGATTGCTCTCAGCAGGAAATCATGACCTGGAAGCACAGCTCCTGCTGTTCAAAACCCTTTATTCCAGCAAAATCACCTCATCAAATAAGCAGGGATGTGTGCGAGGACACAGAAACGTCTACATGTGTTTCAGAAACAGACATGACAATGCTACGCACTGAAATGGGATTCTACCTGTACTACACTGAGCTCTTTGAGGACGATGTTCTTTTGAAACCCACCCCATTTTTAAGTGAAAATCATCATTTCAACTTAATAGGATAACATACTTTAAGATAAAGGACAAAAAAGAGGTGAGAAATTAATTTCCCTACAGATGTTCTATAGTCACTGAAGGCAGTATACAGCTATCAAACTCAAGGTTGGGTCATTAACACTACCTCTCAAAGTCTTTCCTCCTAGGGTGTTCATTCATAACGTGCCAGAAAGAAGCTGCAAAAATACAAATGCTGAATAACGTAAGAACTCAACCCCTAGTTGTATTTTCCCTGGGTCAGATAGCAATGTTAAAATGATTCGAGCTGTAAAAAATTGGTAAAGTTTATAAATTTATGATTAAAAAAAAGGAAATGATTAGGTAAAACAGAATTTCACAGTGATCCTCAATATTCAAGAACTATATATAGATGGAAGTAAATTTCGAATTCTACGATCAATGTTAGAGAAGACTATTCAATCAATGATCCAAAGATATGGCATGCATAGCACTAACACCATCACCACACTCTGCTCAGAGGCACTGTGTGTCATCATCCCACTGAGATGGCGAGTTCTAGGGTGTGCCTAGAGGCTCAGGATCATAAACAGAAGTTATGATAATGAGGATGATGATGGTGGTGGCGGTCTGCAGGAAGAGCACACTGAGATTCACTGTGGCCGCCAACTGAAACCACAGAGCTATGAAGAACATACTCCCCACTGTACACACACAGACACACCCTTCTAAAAAGGCAACGCTTATGGCACCCAAGAAAAAGTGTCATGAAATATGTGCTCTGGGAATGAAGGAGCCAGGAAGTCCATGGGTCTACAAACCTGTGAGTGTTGAGAATCTGTCAGGCCCCAGATCATCTTTGTCTTTTTCTTGTTTTTCTTTCTTTCTAAATGGTATAGGAGCTGGAAATTAAATAAAGTCAGTAGTGTGACATATAACATACTGCACTACTCGGAAGACAGCAGTCATTTTGGAGTTAACTGGTGTGCCAACATTTCTAAGTGAAAGGAAGGTGAAAAGTTTAAAAGCTAAGAAATCCAGGGTGTCAATTGATAATCATTCTTAAAACAGCACTGAAGGTTCTTAAAGAAGCTTTCAGAATCTGCTTTGGGGTCATCTATCACAGAAGAATGATTTAACAGGAATCTATTGGGACTGAATCAAAACCAATGCCTTTTAACCTCTGCTCAAAAAACAACACATTCAAAGCTCTGAGCTTCATCCTCTCCTCCTCAAGTGGGCTTGAGTCTGGCGTGAAAGCAGTACTCTTCAACTCCTGAGCGCCACAGTGCCGAGAAGAGGCCTTTAGAAGAAGCCTCTTGCTTTAATCCCGAATGATCTCTCCTTTCTGGAAGAGATGCTTTTGCCAACTCATATATCAATACCTACTGGTATGATGCCAGGCTATTCACAAAAAAAGCAAACAATTTTACACAACTGCCTTCCAAAGTAAACACTAATATTCAGGGTATTAACATCCTCAATGAACATAAACATAAGAGGCTTAAGTTTATTCCAGGAATGTAAAGGATGAATTTTCAATGTTTGTTTACCAATAGCATCCCTTTTTCCTGCAATAATTATTAGCAATACATATGTCAAAAGTCTTGTATGTTTAACTTCAATGGTACATGATATTTAAACAACTGTGACCTGCACGACTTTCATTTATAAAACCACTACCATTTCCTACAAAGAACAGGAACTGTCAATTCTAAAGCTCTACCTTAGTATTCACTTGAGTGAAACCATTTTCTACACCCTCAAAACAGCTAGAAACTTAGGCCCCGCAAGTCTCACAGAACTGAGATTTTGGCTCTCTGAAGAGGTTTTGGGGCTTTGCTTTTTGTTGCTATTATAGCATTCTGATATTTTATAAAATTACCTTTAGGCATGGCAGAAACAAAACGTTTTCTCCACCAAGGTCTGTTCCTGTCTGATTTCTCATCATCGCTATCTTTGCGTTCTTCAGTCTGTAGAAAGAGTTCGATGCTTTATTTGGAGTTGGACAGTAGGATAAATTACTATGAGATAATTACTATGAGATAAATTACTTATGAGAAGGATTTTAGTAAGTCTGTGAAATACAAAAACCACTCTTGTTCGTCTCCAAAGCAAAACTGTTCTTACTCTTGTTATGAGCAACTTCTGGAACATGGAAGTATTCCTTTTAAGCACCAGACTCTGATCTGCTTAAGGGTAAGCAGTATCTCATTATTGTCAAGAAACCAAAAGCTTAATACAGAGTCTAGCATAGAGTAGGCACTCAGTAATACTCATATAAGAGTAAGTAAATGCAATGCAAATAAAAATCTAGAGCATAGTAGAAATGGTAGCAGTAGTATTAGTAATAAAACTAAATATGTACTATGTGCCAAACACTGAGTATGAGGACATATATTATCTCATTTAAACTTCACAGTAGCTTTAGGAGATAGATACTATTATTAAGCCCTTTTTACAGATGAGAAATATGAGGCTAAGAGAGGTTATCTTCCCATCCTCCCCAAGTCTATACAGACTGTATGTGGCACAGCCAGGACTCAAACCTAGATCTGACCAATTTCAAAGTTCATGTTTTGATCACCAATTATAATGAGTTATTAAGACCACATGTCAGACGGGAAGGACTGCAACGCTTTTACTAACCTATCACGTGATCTTAGACAAAATCATTTAATTTCTGATTTTGCATCTACAAAACTAGAACTAAACACACCTTCCCTACGGGCATCCATGTGAATGGGATACCAGAACCTCAGCAGAGAAATGAGGGCATCAGGAAGGGCTTAGCAGTGGGGATGGGATATGGATTGCATACAGGAGGACAGATCAAGTAAGTACAAACATGAGGAATAATGAAAGCAAGTTTCTCACTGCTGGTGAAGGGAACTACAAATATGGAAAAGGAGAAAGATCAAATGAATCATCTTATTTTTTGACTTTACATATAGGACATATGGTCCTTCACAAATAAAAAGAAAGACACAGATATAAATACACATGGACATGTGCACGTACACACACTCCCTGGCTCTGTCTCCTGAGAGACCCTGGGAGCAGCAACACCCCTACAGGAAACAGCACACCTAATATCCAGATCCTGATTTCTAAAAGCCATTTTCTACAGAAAGGAACAAGGGATCCTTGGAGAAATGGCTGATTCCAGGACTGAGGCAGACAGAGTCCAAGATAAGCTTGTAACATTTCATGCCAGAAAGCAAAGAAATACTCGAAGAATGACAGCAGCGTGTCAAAAGAACACAGGAGCCAGCTTGCAGGGGTGACCACTGGCCAAATCAGGGAAAACTGGGCTTCAAAATAAATGGCAGTAACAAACCCACTGACTAAAGATAGAAAACCATAAGACCACAGATACAAAAATAAGTGGATAAATCAAAAATTTGATAAAGAACAAGGTATTTACGTATCTTCAAAGTTCCCTCTCCTCCCCAAAATACTTACTAATTACAAAGGGGAAAAGAGTAACTTAACAGTAGTGAAGCCTGGCAGACAATATCTTCATCAAATGATCCAAAAGAACACCAGAGAGTGGGACAAATTAAAATTGTGAGCTGCGTGGTGGGGATGCAGTCAAACGAACAGTGTCACTTGAGTGACATTCCTGCCAAAGATGAATAACCTGAATATAATCCTGAGAAAATATCAAGCAGATCCAAATTGAGGGAAATTCTAGAAAATAATAGAAAATAGTAACTTCCAAGTGAGTAAAGGTCAAGAAAGTCAAGGAGAAACTGAGGAAATGCTCTAGACTGAAAGAGCCTAAAAAGACATGTAACTAAACACAAAACGTAATTCTATACGAGATCCTTTTACTCTACTACATACACAATTTTAATTTGTGTTAACATGCACATTTACATGCATAATGCTACTGGGACAACTGGGGACACATGAATGAAGATGGAGTATGAGAACAGAGGGTAGCAATGTACTGATTCTAATTTCCCGATGTTGACAGCTGTACTACGATGTACAGGAGAAGGTGCCGTCTGTAGGAAACTTACGCTGAAGTATTCATAGGTGATGGAGCATTGGAGCATCAGGTTGGTAACTTACTCTTACATGGCTGGGGGAGTTCTTTGTATCTACTTTCAACTTTTTTATAAGTCTGTGATTGTTTCAAAATAAAAAATAGTATCTCGTTGGAAAAAAAAGACAAAAACCTCTTCTAACCACCTCTGAAGGGAACTGTGAAGTTTCAATGAAATAAGGTACAAAATTGCTTGGAGAAAAGTTAAAAGTGTCCTAAAAATTCACGATACCTTACTACAAAAACAAAGTAGAAGTTTTTTATGGATTATAGACATACCAGACTGACAAGTCACCTTTAATCATGACTACTGTCCATCCTTCATCCTAGATTTACATATTCCATGTTAATTTCAGGCATCAAGAGAACTAGGCAGATGGAACACTAAAGCTGACCAGAGTTAGAAAATTCTACACAGTCTGCATCCCATACCTCTCCTCTTGAGGAGTCCTTACTCGGGGATGAAGATGATGAATGAGGTGCAGCCACCAAAGAAGTAGCACCAATGGCTGCGGAAGGAGGGAGTTCTCGCTCTTCATTCCCTGGACGTCGGTTCCAGCTGGGGTCACTCATAGGCCGCCGGACAGAAGAAGACACTATATCAGAGCTCCTGCTGCGAACTAATCTCTCAGGGTAAGAATGCCTTTGCTTGAATGCCTCCATCTCAGCTGGAGTTAAAACATGGGAACCGAAGTTTGGCAACCTGGCCTCATTTCCTCCCACAGCTCCTTCCAGGATTGGGGGATCTGGTGGTGGATGTGAGGGCCTGGCATAGTGAACCTTTGGCCTTACCACAGCAGAAGCCCCTGGAACACAGGAAAAAAAGTTTGCAGCTGACACACAACTGATCCAACAAAGACATGAACAAAGGGTTTTGGTTTCATTCCTCTGTCCTTGATAAAACAAAAGTCAAAAAATTCACTTGACTACTTTACCTTCATGTGAAGACAGTGGATCAAACATGGCAAGCAGAGAGTCTGACTGCGAAGGAGGAGAGGTCAGCTGGTGGGCACCTAAAACAAGAGTCAACTGTGAGACCAAGTCAGAACTCCTGACTCAGTGAGAGGCTCAACACAGTGAAAAAGGTTCTGTCTTCTACAGTCTTCCTTTTATGATCAAGTAGAACTTGAGGGGCAGATCAGAAAAAACAGAATCTAATAAACAGCATACTTTGATTACTTCAAATTCATTTTATGTTTTTATCTACATACATGGATTTTAATTACATTTAAGTGGTCTAGCATCCACATGCCTCCTCCGTCTAATGGCCAAACTGTATTACGGTTAATGCAAAGAGCAGAGCCAGAAGATGTGAGTCATCATTTTCAGGATGCCACAAGTTCCCTGAGTCTCACCTTCCCTCCACCTATAAAAATAGGGGCAATACTACCTACAGAAGGAGTATAAATTACAAGTTACAAACTGTGAAATTTTAATATCGCTCTCAACAAAAGACAACTTATGAGAGAACTCAGAACAAAAATGAGTAATACGACATGATACTACAAAACAAACTTGAACTTCTAAAATAGTGTGTCAAAGCACGCTATTTTTAAGCTACAGAGTAAAAGATGACTCCTCTAAGCATATGTCTAAACAACCAAAATCAGAAATATTAAAATAGATAAGTACGCAGAGACTAAAACTTACAAATACATAAAAGAAACTGTTATTCTAAACTTCGAGTCTGAGCTCTTTGTTGATAATGATAATACTACTTTCCCTTTTGATTGTTCCTTTTGTTCTGTCTTATAATTACCTTCCTTTTTTAAAACTATAGAAATAGTATGCCATTATGAAAGACAGCTTAAAATACCTGTTCTCAAAATTTTGGACTTAGGACACTTTAACATTCTGAAAAAAAATGTGACTCTAAAAGCTTATTTATGTTGGTTATAGCTAGTAACATTTACCATATTAGAAATCAAAACTAAAAGAACATACAAATTAAAATTTTATTCTTAATACATTTATATTAAATATTTAAATATTAATTTAAACATACTCATTAAATGTTAACACAAATAACCTCTTTTAATGAAAAAAACCATACTTTCCAAAATAAAAAATAACAAGAAAAATGTCACTTTTACAAATTCACAAATTCCTTTAACGTATGACCTTAATAGAACACAGGTGGATTCTCATATCTGCTTCTGCTTTCAATCTACTGCAATATGTTGTTTTGGTGGAAGTATGTAAAGAAAAGCTGGCCTCTGATATGTAGGTGGGAAAGGGACAATATTTTAATAGACTTTTCAGAAAACTGTAGATGTTATTCTTTGATACAACACCAAATCTTGACAAGAAGTATGCCATTTTTTTTAAAGGATAGCTACAATTTGGAATCTGAAACCAAATCAATGAACTTTTGGACTCTGTTACATTGAAATTTACTGGTCTATTTTGAATGGATCTTTTATAACCAAGCATGATTTTCTAACAATATGCACTGATCATCTGGAAAATATTAGTTCAATTAGATAACAGATCTTCCAAATGTTGAGATATTTCATCATATATTATCAAAAATGACATTTTTATATCACCACCAATCTCACTGGAAAAGTTTTCAAATAGCAGGAAGCTGTCAAGCTTGTGGAGGTGGACACAAGTTTTCCCAAAATTTTAATTTTGAATTAAAATTTAAAAAATTAATTTTGAATTTTACCATTGGCAACAAACTCTATCCTGTCAGTTGTTTCCTTGAAATGACAGGCTCACTTTGTTATCTTTCAAGAAACGTCTGCCAAATACCCAACTATGAATAACTACAGTTTGTTGTTCTTTCAAGTAAAAATGGTGTTTCATGAAAAACAAATGAGAAAAAAAAAGTGTGTAGTTAAGCTGACAACTCAATCATATAACTGCTTTTCCTTGAGACACTTCACCATATTTCAGAATGCAGCAGCAATGTGTTAGGGATACTTCCTGTTTCTTCAGAATATTAAATAGATGTGTACTCAAGGGTTGAGATACAGAATTAAATAATTTTTACTTCATTAAAGACATTCATAAGTAAAACTTCTTTTTTAAACTGTGAGATGAGTACAGTGACTGCTACTGTGGTCTGGTGCCACTGCCCTGCTTCGTGCTAATGCCCCAGCACTTGTACCCACCTTTGCTTATGCGCCACCATGCAACGTCAACACAGTAAAAAGGACAATAACCTTTAATCATTATGAAAACAGTTTTGACCTCACACCTCCCCATCCCACAAACAGATCTTAAGGGCTCTCAGTGGTCCATGGAGACTACAATTTTGAAAAGTGCTGATTGAAAACAGTGGTTCTCAACTGGGCCTATTTTGCCCCTCCAAGGGATCATTTGGCAGTGTCTGGAGACACCTTTGGTTGTCATAACTGCAGGAGAGGGAAGGGGATAGTGTGCTTCTGGTAGAGGCCAGAGATGCTGCTAAACATCCTACAATGCACATGACAGGCCCCCACAACAAAGAATTACCTGGCCCCAAATGTCCATAGTGTTGAGGATAAGAAATTCTGATTTTTGAATTTTAAAAAATGTAAAGAAAAAAAAATGTAAAGGAAAAAAAAGTACTTCAAACCCAGTACCCAATATACAAAATCACTACTTACTGGTATTTCTTTTCAGTGCTTTCTCTATGATAGGCTTTTTAATGCTCTATTATATATAAAATTCTTTAAAATAAATGTTCCAAGTATATGTTCTAGATATTTCTCTAAGTTACTTCATATTCTTTAAAGCATTTAAAAAAACAGCTGTATAAATTCTAGCAAGCAGTTATATCAAAATTCACTTAGCCATTCTATTTTTCAATTCTTAGGCTGTTTCTGTTTTTCTGTCACTATAAATATTATGAAGAACACCTCTGCGCATAAGACTTTCTCCATACATGAACTGTTCCTCATGACTGATTCCTAAAGTGGACTAAATGAACCAAATTTAGTATGCGAAACTTATTTTAAGGCCTTATATATGTATTGTCAAATTATGCCCGAAAGTGCTATAGCAACTGACATTATCACCAGCAATGTGTCAGGCCTGCCAGTTTCAGCCATGGACTTGATCGTTTCTAAAAGTCCCTCTCAATTCCCCTTCTTACCGTGAGTTACTTCATCCATGTCTGGACTAGTGACAGAATCTTTACCCCCAAAGTCAGAGCTGCACTCAGACCTCAAGTCTTCAATCTTATTGGGAATATCCTCAGAGGTTGCACTTATGCCTTTAAGAAAAAAATAATAAAAAATAAACAGCAAGAAGAACAAAGTAACTGCACAAAAAGTATATGAAGTTTGGAGAAATGTATATATTCTCAAAATTTTTGTGTCCCAGTTCTACACATGTGAGTTGTTTGGCATCATATCCCTCATTGTACTATTGGTTAAATACATTTACCTTGGTTTGTATAACATAATCAGGATTAGCATGTGACAGCTAAATATAGTAGCAGATGCTACCAAGAACAGATAGACTCAGAGAGGTAACACACACAGACTTCCGTCAGCTACTCTGACAGGATCCATAAAGCCACACATTAACTTCTCATAGATGTAAGGTCCCATGGAAATAACTGTTTCCTGGAAATTACTCAGATCTTAAATAAAACATATCTTTTTATTATCAAATTTATAAATGGGGAGGTGAGAACACACCTTCAAATCCTTATTCCTTAAAACAAGACAGACATACCCGACACAACACTGAGGCCTGGTGTGCTGGGGCGGGAACTGACCTCCCTGACATCCGTATCATCAGATGTGCTACCCAGGCCAGAACAGCTCTCCAGTTCTTGTAGACGCTCCTCCTGCTTAAGATCTGGGGCCTCTAGACAGAAGACGTGAGGTATCACATGAGTAATTCCGTTAGCATGTCACAGTTTCAGCTTTTGTGACCCAGATGAAAATGAGAGCTACTAGGCATGAAGGGGAGTGAGTGTAAATAGATTTCTAAGTCTAAGCCAGTTAGCAAAGTTAGTTAGATCAAGTGTTAGAGAAGTCAAGGTTGTGATTTTTCATCCCAATATAGGCCAGCTCACTGTGCACAGATGAAAACTCTGCTTCCAGATCACTAATCTCATAGAGTATTCTATTGGTTAACAAGTAAACTGAACAAGAGAATACAGAATAGATTAGCATTAAGTCCATCACTTTCTAAAAAATAACTCCTTATGGGTGCTCACTAGATAGTGAGATAATCCTACCGTCTCCTTATGTAAAGGTTAGCATGTCTAAGTGTGTTAACGTTACAAAACACATTTAAGAATCATTTCATTATTATTGAGCCAACCTGATCAAACAGAACGTAATTCAGACATATAGTTAGTTATATTTGCATTCTGGTGGTTGACATTTAGTTGAAGGCAAGAATTTATACTCATAATCGGGGGAAAAAAAGCAGAAATACAAGCAATATATAAGAGAAAGTACAAAACACTTTGTATACATTTATGATAATCCTGCACAAAATAATTCTCAGGACTCCAGAGTCTCAGCTTCAGTGTACTTCAAAAATACATTAAGTATCTCTGGGTCACATTCTCCAAAATGCTTACCAGGCATCCAGCCACTCAGGTTCAAGTTGTGCTGCTATTCCTATTTTGTGATAAGTTAGTGGGAGATACTGAACTCAGTGTCCCACACAGAATTCTGATGGGTTGCTTTCAAAATAACAGAACACGGAGTCAGAAAGCACCTGCCATCTTAGCCTATGCCATCCAATACTGCATATTTTTCTTGATGGACAGAAAATACCTGAATTTTCCATTTGGAACTCTTAGCGATGTGATTGCCTC